CAACGAGTAATAAAACAGGAATCCAGCAATGAATACCCTCCTGCCTGGGTAGTACCACAAGACTCAGCAATCCCAGTGTCCAGATAGTAACATGCAGCCAATAGGGAACAACAAGTCTCAGCAATCCCAGCGTCCAGGTAGCCAATATGGAACTATAGCTCCCAGCAGTCACAGTGTCCAACAAGCAGCACGCAGCTGATATGGAACTGCAAGTCCCAGCAGTCTTATTGTCCAACTTGCAGCAATCAGAGACCTGAGCCTAAATCCCCGGTCCTGAGGTTTCTGCCCATCTCCTGGTCACCCGTGTATGGAGCTCGATATAGGAACCTCACTGGTCACCTGTGTACGGAGCTCTATATAGGAACCTCACTGGTCACCTGTGTACGGAGCTCTATATAGGAACCTCACTGGTCACCTGTGTATGGAGGTCTATATAGGAACCTCACTGGTCACATGTGTACAGAACTCTATAGAGGAGCCTCACTGGTCACCTGTGTACGGAGGTCTATACAAGAAACTCACTGGTCACCTGTGTACAGAACCTGTGTATGGAGCTCTAGATAGTATCCTAACTGGTCACCCGTGTATGGAGCACTAGATAGGAACCTCACTGGTCACCTGTGTTCGGAGCTCTATATAAGAAACTCACTGGTCACCTGTGTATGGAGCTCTATATAGGAACCTCACTGGTCACCTGTGTACGGAGGTCTATATAGGAACCTCACTGGTCACTCGTGTATGGAGCTCTATATAGGAACCTCACTGGTCACCTGTGTACGGAGGTCTATATAGGAACCTCACTGGTCACTCGTGTATGGAGCTCTATATAGGAACCTCACTGGTCACCTGTGTATGGAGCTCTATATAGGAACCTCACTGGTCACCTGTGTACGGAGGTCTATATAGGAACCTCACTGGTCACCTGTGTACGGAGGTCTATAGAGGAACCTCACTGGTCACTACTTCACGTGTGTCAATTTTTATTTAGAACATCACAGGTCTCCTCTTCTGTGTTTGAAGCCCCAATGGGAGCCTCATAGGTGTCATCTTTTCCTATGTTCAGGACTCTATATAGAAGCCCCACCGGTCTCCTCACCTGTGTTTGGACCTCTATATAGGAAACTTACAGATCTCCTCTTCTCCTGTGTTTAGACCTCTTTTAGGAACCTCACTGATCTGCTACTCACCTGTATCCAGAGCTCAATATAGGAACCTCAAAGGTCTCCTCTTCTCATGTGTCTAGAGTTCTATATAAGAAGAGCCTCATAGGTCTCCTCTTCTCCTCTGTATGGAGCCTTCATAGAAACCGTCCTCTTTTTATGTGTTTGAGCCTCTATGTAGGAACCTCGCAGGTCTCCTCACCCGTCTTAGGACCTCTTTATAGGAACCTCGCAGGTCTCCTCACCCGTGTTCAGACCTCTTTATAGGAACCTCGCAGGTCTCCTCACTCATGTTTAGAGCTCCTTATAGGAAACTTGCAAGTCTCCTCACCCATCTTAGGACCTCTTTATAGGAACCTCACAGGTCTCCTCACTCATGTTTAGACCTCTTCATAGGAACCTCACAGGCCTTCTCGCCTGTGTTTGGACCTCGATGTAGGAACCATACAGGTCTGTTACACAAAACCTTTTACTGTTTTTTCCCCCCGAAATAACTTAACTACACAATAAAAGTGATTCAGAAGACGCAGAATGTTGGTGTTACACGTTAGATAAATGTACAACAGCTCATCCTTTTACCTCTCCAATTCTATCCGCAGCAGTTTCTCCCTCTCCAGGATGGACACGTGTAGTTTCCCCCATTCCTTCTCTACATCCAGCGGGTGGTACCCGGGGGGCACCTTCAGCTGCCCAGACTTCACAGCACCCTGAGGTCAGAGGGCAGCAGAGTCAGACACAAGTGGATGGACAACGAAAGCGCCAAGAAGAATGGTTGCTGCACTCTACTCACCTCCAGAGACTGATACTGGAGCTTGGACTGGTTCTTGTCTGCCTCTTTACTGGGGAGATCTGTCTCTTTAAATTTCAGGAACTGCCGCCACAGGATCTGCAGAGGACAGGAAAGGGTTAATGGAAATGGGAGTCCAGCTCAGCGCCGGACAAGCAATCCGTGACCGGAGGCTACTTGTGGATTGCAGAACATTTCCATTGATATGGGATGCTACATATATGTGTCATGTTATATGGCGTGTGCATCTGATCCCTGAAAGCCGGAGGAAAGAGAAATGTCTGTGCTGCGCCAACAACCAATCAAAGAGCCTACAGGCAGAAAATCTATTTATGTGACCATACTGAGAGGAGGAACATTCCAAGAGACGGCGTGTCACATGGTTCCGATCCGCTCATCATCCTATGACACGCACAGCATTGTCCAATATGATCACATGACAGATCGATATGAGAAGACCGCAATGTTCTGTTAAACCCCGCACAGAGCTCTGCTGTAACCCCTTCTGTGCCAGACTCCTCTTCTACCCCCGGTGTAACCCCTTCTGTGCCAGGCTCATCTTCTACCCCTTCTGTGCCAGGCTCCTCTTCAACCCCACTGTAACCCCTTTTGTGCCAGGCTCATCTTCTACCCCTTCTGTGCCAGGCTCCTCTTCAACCCCACTGTAACCCCTTTTGTGCCAGGCTCATCTTCTACCCCTTCTGTGCCAGGCTCTTCTTCTACCCCGCTGTAACCCATTCTGTGCCAGGCTCCTCTTCTACCACGCTGTAACCCATTCTGTGCCAGGCTCCTCTTCAACCCCACTGTAACCCCTTTTGTGCCAGGCTCATCTTCTACCCCTTCTGTGCCAGGCTCTTCTTCTACCCCGCTGTAACCCATTCTGTGCCAGGCTCCTCTTCTACCACGCTGTAACCCATTCTGTGCCAGGCTCCTCTTCAACCCCACTGTAACCCCTTTTGTGCCAGGCTCTTCTTCTACCCCGCTGTAACCCATTCTGTGCCAGGCTCCTCTTCTACCCCGGTGTAACCCCTTCTGTGCCAGGCTCCTCTTCTACCCCGCTGTAACCCCTTCTGTGCCAGGCTCCTCTTCTACCCCGCTGTAACCCCTTCTGTGCCAGGCTCCTCTTCTACCCCGCTGTAACCCCTTCTGTGCCAGGCTCCTCTTCTACCCCGGTGTAACCCCTTCTGTGCCAGGCTCCTCTTCTACCCCGCTGTAACCCCTTCTGTGCCAGGCTCCTCTTCTACCCCGGTGTAACCCCTTCTGTGCCAGGCTCCTCTTCTACCCCGCTGTAACCCCTTCTGTGCCAGGCTCATCTTCTACCCAGGTGTAACCCCTTCTGTGCCAGGCTCCTCTTCTACCCCGCTGTAACCCCTTCTGTGCCAGGCTCCTCTTCTACCCCGCTGTAACCCCTTCTGTGCCAGGCTCCTCTTCTACCCCTTCTATAAGCCCTTCTGTGCCAGGCTCCTCTTCTACCCCTTCTATAACCCCTTCTGTGCCAGGCTCATCTTCTACCCTTCTGTAACCCCTTCTGTGCCAGGCTCATCTTCAACCCCACTGTAACCCATTCTGTGCCAGGCTCCTCTTCTCCCCCGGTGTAACCCCTTCTGTGCCAGGCTCATCTTCAACCCCACTGTAACCCCTTCTGTGCCAGGCTCCTCTTCTACCCCGGTGTAACCCCTTCTGTGCCAGGCTCCTCTTCTACCCCGGTGTAACCCCTTCTGTGACAGGCTCTTCTACCCCTCTGTAACCCCTTCTGTGCCAGGCTCTTCTACCCCGCTGTAACCCCTTCTGTGCCAGGCTCCTCTTCTATAACCCCTTCTGTGCCAGGCTCCTCTTCTACCCCACTGTAACCCCTTCTGTGCCAGGCTCCTCTTCTACCCCTTCTGTGCCAGGCTCATCTTCTACCCAGGTGTAACCCCTTCTGTGCCAGGCTCCTCTTCTACCCCGCTGTAACCCCTTCTGTGCCAGGCTCCTCTTCTACCCCGGTGTAACCCCTTCTGTGCCAGGCTCCTCTTCTACCCCGCTGTAACCCCTTCTGTGCCAGGCTCCTCTTCTACCCCGGTGTAAACCCCTTTCTGCGCGGCGCTCCTCCTCTACCCACAACCCCACTGTAACCCCTTCTGTGCCAGGCTCCTCTTCTACCCCGGTGTAACCCCTTCTGTGCCAGGCTCCTCTTCTACCCCGGTGTAACCCCTTCTGTGACAGGCTCTTCTACCCCTCTGTAACCCCTTCTGTGCCAGGCTCTTCTACCCCGCTGTAACCCCTTCTGTGCCAGGCTCCTCTTCTATAACCCCTTCTGTGCCAGGCTCCTCTTCTACCCCACTGTAACCCCTTCTGTGCCAGGCTCCTCTTCTACCCCTTCTGTGCCAGGCTCATCTTCTACCCAGGTGTAACCCCTTCTGTGCCAGGCTCCTCTTCTACCCCGCTGTAACCCCTTCTGTGCCAGGCTCCTCTTCTACCCTGCTGTAACCCCTTCTGTGCCAGGCTCCTCTTCTACCCCGCTGTAACCCCCTTCTGTGCCAGGCTGCTCCTCTATCCGGATGTAACCCCCTTCTGTGCCAGGCTCCTCTTCTACCCCTTCTGTAACCCATTCTGTGCCAGGCTCCTCTTCTACCACGCTGTAACCCCTTCTGTGCCAGGCTTCTCTTCTATCCCGCTGTAACTCCTTCTGTGTCAGGCTCCTCTTCTACACCACTCTAACTCCTTGTGTGCCGAAATCCCCTGTACCCCACTCTATCGCCTTGTTTGCCAGACTGTTCTGTCATGTTATAACCTCACCGTGTCAAATTTTGTTTGGTGCTGGGTTGGGAAATTAAGCCACATCTGTCATCCTATTAGGATATAAGTGATGGTAATGCCCCCGTTCCCATATGCCAGCAAAAACCTGTTAAATCACCAGAACCAGATTTTGGCAGGTCTGCATTGCCCCGTCAAGCCACATACCTCAATTTCCTCATAGCTGCCTGGGAATCTCTTCTCCTCGAAGATGATGGTGTAGTGTCTGATCCACTGCAGCAGCATGGTGACCCTCTCGTAGTATTCCGTCCACCGCAGCTCCAGCTCCTGCCAGGAAACACCACGTTTAACCAACAGATCGCTGAAAGTACCAGCTCTGCCCCCCTCCCCCCCCAATATTCCGGACACTCACGTTGGCTCTGACGCCATCCTGAACATCAGGGACTCTGGGCATGGCATCATACAGGGAAGACACGTATGTAATGATCGATTTTTCATCTGGCTGGGGGACGTCCACATCTGAGGAAACAAGAAACTGCTTAGCAATATGAAAGACAAAAAGGGAAAGACAAGACGGAGAACTGATACAATGTATATATTCCATCTACACACAGAGGACACAAACTTGGTTACATGTTAAATATGTAACTAACCACCGGGAACATTGGAGGGGTTAGTCACTTATATATGCTCCCTCAGGGACTCATCTACTGGTTACATGTGAAACATATACTGTGCATGACTTTTTTTAGATGTCACCCCCTTTTTGTAAGATGGACAGCTTGGCACAGGGGTGGGAAAACGCCAGCCGCTCCAGCTGTTATTGAAACTACAAGTCCCATGAGGCATTACAGCCACGACTCCCAGAGAGAAATGCATGATCGGATTTGTAGTTTCACCACAGCTGGAGGGCCGGAGTTCGCTCGCCCCTGACTAGGCAGAAAAATGGGGCGACGTGCAGCAAAAAAACAGCCATTGTGTTATAAAGCGCCCCCTCATATCAGAGCACCTAGGATGAAGGACTCACCCTCGGGGTCCAACAGTCTGGTGACACCCAGCTCCCTCTCGGCTACTGTGAAGGCCTGATCCAGGTTCTCCAGGTTGGTCTGTCGGTACACCCTGTTCATATCGATCAGCATGGGTCTGCGGGTGGAAGGAAGGAGACTGTCACTTTCTGTGCAGGAGATACACATACAGGGAGAGAGCAAACATGAGATGCGGTCTTAGTCCCCGAATTGTCTGTGAAGGTTATTATTTCTCCAG